CGGCCTCAGCATCCTCTCTTTCCAGAGTGACAGAAGAGAGGAGCCTTCTCTTCACTCACTCCTCAGCTGCAAATTGAGCTCAGGTTCACTTCTGGCTCTCCAAACTTACAAGCCAGGGCTGCTGCTGCCAGTTGCCTAAGCAGGTGGGAGGGAGAGAGAGAGAGTACATGGCAACTCCCAAAGGTGTGGGGGCTAGGAGCTGGGGGGGGGGGGGGGGATGATCATTTCCTTTGATGACAAGTACTTAAGAAAAGAAGGAGGTTGAGATGGAAAGAGGTAGGGGGACAACCTTCCTCTATCCGAGTGTGTTTGAACGACAAGTTTAAAGTCAAACTTTTGGGAAAAGAAAAGGAAGAGGAGTTAGGACTCATAAGTCCAGAAAAGAGAGTTCTAGGAACAGGGAGGGGTGAGTTGGGAATTGGTGGAACAAACCTGTAGGTCAGACACACACAGAAATAGAGCAATGATATGAACGGGAAGAAAGGATCACAGTATAGATGAACGCTGAAAGGGACCTGAGAGGCCTCCTCGCCCAAATTTCTCACGTTACAGATGACGGTTTTAAAGTCTGGAGTGACCTGCTACACAGGTATTCAGTGGCGGAGCCAGCCTTCAAATTCAGGGCTTCTGACTCCAGATCCAGCCCCCTTTCCACTGTACCGAAGAGGAATCATCTCTACAACACAACTGACCCTAAAGAATACCAAATCTGGGCTTTAAGGAGTCCTATCTTTCTCCAGAACCAGGGCTTCTTCCACCAGGATGCCAAATTCTAGTCCAATTCTAGCAACTAGGTAGGTTAAAATGATCTCTCTCGATCTCAGTCTCTCTCTCTCTCTTTCTTTCCCACATACACACACCACACTCATGCACACCTGAGAAAGCTAGGCCCAAAAGACCAGATCTCTTAATAAGGACTGTCTTTAACTTTTTTCTGTGCCCTGGACCCCCTGGGCTGTCAGTCTGGTGAAGCCTATGGACCCCTTCCCAGAATCATGTTTTTAAATACAGAAAATAAAATACATAGAATTACAAAGGAAATCCACTATATTGGCATAGTTAACACATTTTTGTTAAGTTCCCAACCCCCAAGTTAAGAATCTCTGGTCCTTAAAGGTTCAAGTCTCTGATATATTTCCACCACTTCCAGGAGGAAACCCTGAAAAGCAGGGTACCCTCCCCATGGGGTCACAGGTTCCCATCCTCTTGAGTCACTCCAGACTGGGCCCTGAGCAGGACAAAAGATGAGAGAGGGAAGCAGTGTTTATATGAGCTAATCTAGCACCAGCTCCCTAGCTGGCCCCTCTCCATAGGCTGGGGGAGATGGAGGGGGAGGAAGGTGATTCCATCTCATTGCTGCAAACAAGTTAATGGAGATTTTAATGAAAACGCCAAGATAATGAAAATGCTGAGGCTTAAACTAGCTGCAGACACTCTGCCAGCACTGTCTGTGCCACAGAAGACTGAGCTCCTCCTCCTCTGTCTCCCTTTCCAGTCCTTTAGGGAGGTGAGGGTGGAAGGTTTACCAGATGGGTAGTTAATGAAGTCTCCTATGCTTACAAGGAGTCAGAGGCCCTCGAGGTCATGAAAGCCAACTGCTCTGACAACTGGAAAATCCTCTTAACGGCATTTCATCCTCCAGCCTCTGATTGATAGAGTCATTCATTCAGATGGTACATGATCATTTCATCTTCTAGACACTGCCCCCCCCAGGAATCTATTACACCCAATGCCACTCTGATGACCCAGTGTGGGGTCCTTAAATCCTGACAGCTGAGCCTTTCCAAGGATAAAAGCAACTTGATCTAATGGGAAAATCCTGGGGTTTGGCAGCCAGGAGATCATAAGATCATAGAGCTAGAAGAGACTTAGAAGGATAATGAGTCCAACCCCCTCATTTCACATATAAGGAAACTGAGGCACAGAGAGGTTAAGTGATTTGCCCAGGGTCTCACTCAGCATCTGAAGCAAGGTTTGAACACAGGCCTTGCTAACTCCAAGGCCATTCCCCAATCCACAATGCCAAGCTGCCTTTTGGTTCTAGTAAAAGTCCTGATAATAACTAGCTCTGTGAGCTTGGCCAGCTAATTTAAATTACCTGGACCTCAGTTTACTCATCTGAGAATATCTGGCCCACCTATTTTAAAGAATTACTGTAAGGATCAAATGTAACAATGGTTGTGAAAAAGTTTTGGAGAATTATAAGTGTCATAGAATGCCTATTTGCATATACACACACAAAAAATAATTGTATGGAGACCGCTGCCCCATACAAGGTAGCATTGACTTCAGATCCAGCCTCAAATGCTAACTGAGCCTAAGTGTGTCACTTAACCTGTTTACCTCAGTTTCCTTGACTGTAAAATAGGACTAATAAAAGCACCTATCTCCCAAGATTGTCATGAGAATAAAACGGGATAATTGTAAACCTTCAAGCATTATATAAATACCAGCTATTATTCTCAACCCTCTCTCTGCAGGTTGGCTTGTGGTCTCCTCTGACCCACAAAGGAGGCTCAGCTTATTCTTCAGGGAGCAGATAGAGAACAGATTCCCATCCTCCAAATAATCCAGCAGACTCTTGAAGGCAGCTTTTCAGATCCCTTTTGCCTTCTCTCCTCCGGACAAAGTCACCTCTTTTCCTCATAGTCCTCAGTTTCAGCTCCAACAGGCCTCACTGCCAGGCCTCCCTCTATACTCCCATCTGTCCTGAAACCTGATTTAGAAGACATATTTGGGCTACCACCCAATGGCTGGAAGAGGTGCTATTAGCCCATTCATAAAGCAGGAATCTCTGCAGCTTCTATTCTGAACAAGTCCCTGTATAATGAACAAAGATGCCAGGCTAAGGAAGTTAGCTGAGCCTAGGACCCTTGTGTGAAATGCAAAACCATTCCTGGAAGGCCTCCAATTAAAATATCCTTGTAACCACCACCACCCCAAACATTTTCTCATTTGATTTCTTTTTGCCTACTAAATTCAAGGTCTGCTGCCTTGGATTCAAAATCCTCCCAATCTACCTTTTCCAGCCTTCTCATATGGCTTTTCTCCTTGAACTAAAAAGTCAACAAATTATTAAGTGCTTACTGTGCACTAACTCCAGCCAAACTGGACATCACTCCATTCCCTTAAACTCATTGGTGTTGTCCTACCTCCTCACCTTTGCCTGGAAAGTGCCCCTCCCCACCCTTTGTCTATAGAACTCCTGGCCATTGTTAAGGTCAAACCCAAAGGCCACCTCCTCCACTGCCTTTACTGATTCTCCTCTATAACAAAATTCTTCAACTTTCCATGGCTTTGTTTTACCAGTTATCTAATGCACTTATGCAATATTCTGTATTCTCATGATGCTTGTGTTTTCTCTCTCCTCATTGCCATCTGCACTCAGGCCAGCATCCTTATCTTTCCTTGAAAACTCCAGATTCTGCCCTTGGGTAATTGAGCTGTGGTAGGTGAGCTTTCCATTCACCTCATCTCATCCCCAGTCACACCTCTGCCTTGCCACCATATGCATAGCATTTAGTACAATGTATGCCCCACTCCCCTTTCTATGCCATGCTCCCTTGTTAGAATGTATGGTTCTTGAGGGCAGGGACCAGCACTTACCCACTCCCTGGCCCATTAAGCGCTTAATAAATGCTTTATTTACTTATGACGGTGTTGTTAATCATTTTTCAGTCATGTTGGACTCTTCATGACTCCATTTGTGTTATTCTTAGCAAAGATACTGGAGAGGTTTGCCATTTCCTTTTCCAGCTCATTTTATAGATAAGGAACTGAGTCAAACAGGGTTAAGTGACTTGCCCAGGGTCACACAGCTAGTAAGTGTCTGAGGCCACATTTGAACTCAGGTCTTCCTCACTCCCGGCCCAGCCCTCCATCTACTGTGTCACCCAGCTGCCCTTTTATTTATGGTAAGTAAGGCCAATGTTTGTTGAATGGATAAAGAAGTGATTTAATAAAGGTGCAGATATCTAATGAAGACCAAAACAGTTTCACTAAAAATCAGTGATTCCCCTATTCACCATAGAAATATATTTAGAACCCCAATTAATCCACTTGTTAATTGTTCTCTTCCCAGCCACTCTCAATGAGAACATCTAGGATCAGTGGCCTGGACTCCTCCCTAACTACAGCGGCAAGGAAATGACAGATGGAAGCAGTTATTTGCTAACTAAGTCCAGCGCTATCTGGAATGCCCCAGGCTCCCTGACAATTGAAACTCCAATTAGTGCAGAAAAGGCTAAAGTTGAAACAATTTGGCTCCCTGAAGGATGCCTGGGCTCAGACTAATGAGAATGGAAACACAGAAAGGGAAATCCCTGCCCAAGGCCCTCCTCACCCCAGGGACGAGGGTGAATTGTCTGGCTACCAGGGAAGAGAGAACTTTGCCCTAGGGTAGTACGAAGACCTGGGGGTCATGGTCCTTCTGTACCTTAGAGGCACAAAGTGGTTAGGGGCAATCTGGCCCCTCTCTGATCTGCTATGACTTTAATGAAGAGGAGATTAAGTGCACATAAATAGCAGACCTTTCTCATCTATGAGTTGGCAGAGGAATGGCCCTCTTTGAGCCTTGGCCCTGCCGCTGTGACCTTCCCAAGGTCATTTTTTTTCCTCTATGGCTCTCCGGTTCCTCATCTGTAAAATGAGATTGGACTAGACAGCCCTTAAAGTCCGTTCCACCAGCTCTAAATCTAAGATCCTGAGGTTCAATAGAAAATTAAAGGACCAGACCCCCTATGGCTACCCAGGGAAGTTGTTAGCAGAACTCAGTGACCCCTGCAGGGGTCCCACAGGCCGAAGATCCAATGGGTCGCCCAATAGTGGAGGCATCGGAGCTGGGGGAGTGACAGCCACCTCTGCAGGGTCCCCAGTGAGAGGCTACTGGTCTCCAGTTACCAGGTTTGTGGGAGCAGGCTGTTTGCTGAACAGATTTGTGAGAGGAAGGGAGGAGATAATTGCCCTAATGAATGTACAGAAGACAATGGAAGCTCCAGAGGGAGGATTATGAAATCATTATGGTTTATATGATGATTGATCACCTCTGTCGAGCTAGCATCATACTGGAATAGCAATAAACAGTGGGGATGAAGGGTGGACGGACCAGACACCAGTCAAGGCTCTCTCCAGAAGAAAGAGAAGCTCATTTGCCTGTGGATTTGCATCTCATCTGTATATCACACATGTAAATTTCACAACAGGGGAACCCCCAGACCCTAAGTTTTCCTGTTACCCTCCCCTTCTGCTCTAAAACCACCCGTTTCCAGCAATTCTTACCCATCACCTCACACTGACCCTCCCTCTTCCCCATTCCTTTCTCTCCCACCAGTCCCTTCTGTGTCTCTGTAGGCAGACCCAGCATGGAAATAACAGTCGTTTGGCCTCTGCAATGCCAATCTCCATTATGCCATGGGTGGGAGGTAGGTCCAACAGTCCCATCAGTGGGCATTGGCAGGCACTCGGCTCAGATAGAAGGCACGGGAAACCTCTCGGTAGGCATTTCGGAGCAAAACGTAGGGGAAGCAGGACTCCAGCATGTCCAGGGTAAGGAAAGAGGACTCCTCCACCACCTGAATGAAAAGCACCGTGGAAGAGAAAGGAACCTGAAGATCAGAAGGCACAGCTCTGGGACCCTCTGCCCCACACACGTATTCTTCATATGCATAACATGTAGCTATCTCAACTGATTTTTATATGGCATGAAATTAGTCCCCTCATCATTGCAGTCAAGCTCCATTTTATTAAGGTTCATAAAATGCAGTTCACAGAACTTACCACAAAACCCCTCAATGAGGTCTGACTAGGGCAGAGCAGCACCAGTGGTACTATCATCTCCTTTCTTCCAGATGGGTCTGACCATGTGACTCCCCTAGCCCAGAAGTTTCTGTAGCTTTCTACTGCCTCTTGAATAAAACTCTAATTCCTTTGTCTCATTTGAAGCCCTTCACAACCTGTCCTCAACCTATCTTTCCTGGTTGATCACACATCACCCCATGATTCACTGTTTTCTAGATCATCAAGCCTTCTTCCTGTTCCTTATTTACCACGGTCCACCTCCTAACTCAGTGATTTTGCACAGGATTCCAGCTGGCCTCAAAGCCAGGAAGATCTGGGTTCAAGTCCTGCCTCAGACAGACCTAAGTCACTTAAGATTGCAGAGAAACTGCTACCCTGTATTGGCAAAGTAAGTTACCTCACCTGGCCATTCTCTACCAATGAAACCACAGGCCCAATCCCTATCCTCCTATTACATATTAAACATCTCTGTGAACCCTTCCTTCCCCACCTCCCACTGGAATGAGTATAAGCTTCATGAGGGCAGGAACTATTTGGACACTTTTCCTAGTGCCCAGCAGAGTGCCTGGCACACTAGCAGAAGTTTAAATATTTGTTTGATAGAATTGAATTGAAGACAAAGACAGGAACTATGTCCCTAGTTCTAGGTTCAGAGCTGACTAGGTAATGTGGTCTTTCTCCATTCTAAGAAATCCCCTAACCATTCTCCACCTGGGTGAGATATAGAAACCAGAAGAGGGAGAAGGGACTGAGCAACCTAAATAATATTGCAGGTTCTCAGTCCATGAGCCCCCAAAGCCTCTAACCTCCAATGAGAGCTGGACCAGTGGGAGGGTAGATGAGGGTCTCACAGGAAATGTAATGCTTTGCAAAAGTGAGAGAGCAGTACCTGGGGGGGGGGGGGAAATAAGAAGGGGGGAGAGAGAGACAGGGAAAGGAGAGAGAGAACAAAGGGAGGGAGAGGGGGAGAGAAAAAGGGAGCGGGGAGGGAGGGGGAGAGGGAGAAAGAAAGAAAGAGAAAGAGAGAGAGAGATGAGGGGGGAATGAGAGAGAGAGACAAAAAGAGAGAAAGGAGAAAGGGAGGAATGAGACAAAGACACAGAGAGAGAGAAAGGAGAGAGACACAGAGAAACAGAGGGAAAGAAAGGGGAGAGAAAGAGACAAGAACCAATCCTCCAAACACCCCAGGCCTTTCCTACTGGGCCCTATCTATCCCCTTTTTCAATGTGGAGTTTGGGGAGCCATCAGTATACTGAATGGAAAAAAAGGGGCATGATTAATAAGTCTAATTAAAATCTGGCATGCTGAGCTAGGCCCCATAGCTAAGCTGAGTAGCACCATAGATCAAGAAGCCCAAGGAGGCTTGGGTGGGTGTGGGTGAAGCTAGCCTGGTAGGAAGGCATGGAATTGACAGTACTGATCCAGACACATCTCTCTAAAGAAATCAGGGGTTTCTTAACCTTTGTGTGTGTAATAGACCCCTCTGGCAGTCTGGCAAAGCCTAAAGATCCCTTCTCCAAATAATATTTTTGTAAATTCATACATAAAGAAAACACTAAATTTCAATGAGAGGTTGGTGAAATTAAAGATGTAATTTTTTCCCAACTAATTCAGATACCCTGAAATCTATCCATGGATCCTTTGTGTGTCTGTGGACCCCAGGTTTAGAACCTCTGCTCTAGAGGGGCTCCCTTGCTTCAGTCCCTTTGTAAGAGGGGATCACATCCTTATCAGCCTCCCCCTTACCAAGAAGGGAGGGGAGAAAGGGAATGAGCATTTATATAGTACCTACTATACTATGACCAGGCACTGTGCTGGGGACTATTATTATCCTCATTTTACAGTTGAGGAAAATGAGGCAAAGTAACTTGTCTAGGGTCATATAGTTAATAATGAGGCTGGATTTGAACTCAGGTCTTCCTGATTGCAGGACCAGGGCTCTATCCACTGTCCCACCTAGGCCACTGTGAAGTTAGGAGGGGTTTTGAGAGAAGAGATCCCTCTCTTTCCGTTAGTCAGGGACCGTCTAGCCCTCTAGTAGCAGCACCACCACATGGTCCTACAGCTCTACTGGACCTGCATGTGTTGGGGGAGAGAGGTAGAGGGGCTGAAGGTGGGATAATGGAGTTATCTCTCCTATTTAATACACATCGAGAGGGAGAGAAATTCCATGATGCCTATTCTAGCATGTGTGTGGTGTTTCTCTAAAGTTCTTTCTAATGCTAAAAATCCCCTGATTCTTGCACAAATACCCTCTCATCCCCCACAGGAAGGGGAAGGTAGGAGAAAAAAGAGCTGTAAAACTTAACCAACAGGGGGGTTTAGGCTTTGATTGCAGACAGAATTTCTTGATTGGCAGAGTTATTAAAAACAAGGATGGAAGCTGGGCCAGCATCTTCCTAGGAAACCTCCAATCTACCTGGGAGAGAAGGAGGGGACTGACCTTCCTGGAGGCACCAAGAATCTCAAAAGGGTCCTGCCAGCTTCACACTTCATATATTTTGACCTCCCTTATTATTTCTATTAACTACAATAACAACTCATTTCCACAGGGGCTTACTGTATTTTGTTTGTTTAATTGGGGGGGAGGGGGGCGGCAGAGAGAGGCAATCAGGGTTAAGTGACTTGTCCAGGGTCACACAGCTAGTAAGTGTGAGGTGTCTGAGGCTGGATTTGAACTCAGGTCCTCATGACTCCAGGGCCAGTGCTCTAGCCTACTATCAATCAATCAACAAACATTTACCTCTTTGGCGGCCTTGGTTAAACCCTGCTGGGGCAAATAGTGGCCTGAGCTATGAGTTCAGTGAGCACTGGTATTAAGACTCTGCTGCTGGCCTTCCCAGACTCTGAGCTCCTGGGGAACCTAGGTTACAGGGAGATTGCCCAAGAATCAGACTAGTGGAGTATATACATGAGTATATATCCTTGTGGAGGAGCAGGGGGAAGAGCAAGACCTAAATAAGAGGCTGCCAAGAAATCAAAGCTTCCCCTATCCACCTGCCACCTTAGAACTCCTTGTTAGGGTCTGGAAAAGCTCAAGAGTGAAAGAGAAATGGGAAGAGTATCTTGGTAACTACCTATCTCCTGGCCAGATCAACCTAACAACTTTGTAACTATGTTTCACATGCATCCTTATCACTATAATTGGAAGTATACAATGGTTAGAAGGAAACAGTTCTGGGGGCAATGAGGTGGCACAGTGGATACAGCACCGGTCCTGAAATCAGGAGGATCTGAGTTCAAATGTGACCTCCGACCAAACACTTGACACTTACTATCTGTGTGACCCAGGGCAAGTCACTCAACCCCAATTGCCTAAAACAAAACAAAACAAAAATTCCCCAACATCCTGAAATCTAATCTTGAGGGGCAGCTAGGTGGTGCAGTAGATAGAACACCAGCCCTGGATTCAGAAGGACCTGAGTTCAAATCCGACCTCAGACACATATCACTTCACTAGCTGTGTGACCCTGGGCACGTCACTTAACCCCATTGCCTAGCCAAAAAAAAAAAAAAAAGAAGAAAACGGTTCTGATCTTTAAAAACTTTTGACAAGCAAGGAAACTAAGGCAGAGAACACAAAAATGTTTCCTCTACCAGTAGTTTTGTTGTTGTTAAGTCGCTTTCAATGGTATCTCACTCTTCGTGACCCTATTTGGGGTTTTCTTGGCAAAGATATTGGAGTAGTTTGTTGCTTCCTTCTCCAGCTCATTTTACAGATGAGGAAACTGAGGCAAAAAAACAGGATTAAGTGATTTGCTGGGGGTCACACAGCTAGTAAGTGTCTGAGGTGGGATTTTGATCTCAGGTCTTCCTGACTCCAGGCCCTGAGCTCTACCCACTTTACCACCTAGCTGTCCCATTTTACCAGTAAAGCTAGAAGGAAAAACCAGGCAGGAGTATAGTATCCTCTTGTTTGACTGGGTGTCTCACCCTGCCCTGATCAAGGATACAAGCCTAAATGTTGGGCTTTAAATTCCTAAATGAGTCTATGGAGTTCCCTTTGTACTATGAATAGCCTAGGCAAAACAAACAAACAAACAAACAAATCATGTCAACTCAGGTCTTTAGTAAATGGGGGGGGGGGGGGGGAGGATTATAACAAGGGCCCAAAATCCTTCAGCTGAGAACCACATTATTTACCATCTCTGTGATTTGGACTGATCATCTAACTCCTCTCTCCAAGTTTCCTATTTGTAAAACAAAAGGGAAGTTGCACCAGACCATCTCTAAGGTCATTACAACCTGAAACTTATGGGTGCTATGCCCATCCCTGCCAACCCACCAACCCAAGTCAACTGGCTACTCACCAAGCGCATAAGCAAAGAAATAGATTCACGGTTCTTGGATTTCAGTTTATCCATCTCCTGTCCCAGCTGGAGAAGACTGACAGAGGCCACCTGTGGTGGGCAGAGAGTTGGGGGAGGGGAGAGGAAGAATATTCAGAGGCAGTGGAAAGAACACAGAAACTCAGAGCCAGAGAGCAGGAGTTTAAATTCTGGTGTGACCTTGGGTAAACAACTCTGTTACAGAGAGTGAAGATATATCTTGTATTACCTACCTCACAGATCTCTTATGAGGATTTACTGAGATCACAAATGTAAATCAATTTATAAGATATGTAAATTAAAGGTATTATTGAGGGTAAGAGAAGACAGGCCCAGGCATTCCAGATGGAATTAAGGGAAGAGCCAAGAGGAAAACCAAGAGGACTGAGAACTTCTTGAAAACTCATAATGGAGGGGCAGGTTAGACATCCCCTAGACTACAGACAAACACTTCATTGAAAGAGTCTGGGTCTTCCTGGCTAATTTAACTTCAGCTACCAATGTAAGTGCCTCCTAAAGGAAGTTACAGGCTGGAAAAGAAACCGATGAGAATGAGAATGTATGGGCTAGTGGCAGGGGTGGTGGCTAACAGGCCCGTGATACCCCACCTTCTATTGCTGTCTTCTAGACAAGTTGCTGCCAAGCCAACTTTGAGGAGACAGAGGCGTTTACCTAGTCTGCTTTCTTGTTATTCCCCTCCTGTCATCTCCTTAATAGTTGTTATTCTTGCCAACATCCAGGCTCCAGAAGATGGAGACACATGATGAACTGAATCCCAAGCTAAGGGTTACAATGACCTGGATTTGCCTAATTAAGGGGGTGAAGTAAGACAAATAAAAGAGAAGACCCCAGGGAAGATATTAATGTAAATAATGATAATAGCTCACATTTCTGTGGCATCCTAAAGGTTTACCTATTCCTTTTCTCACAACAGCCCTATAAGGTGGGCAGTAAAAAATATTATCTTCATTTTATATACAAGGAAACTATGAGATTAAAGGACTTGCCCATGACTTAATAAATGATTATTGAATTAAATTGAATGATCATGGCTAGTGTCAGATTTGAGGTAAAGACCCTCCTGCCCTACCCTGGGGATCTATCTCCAATCCCTAGGAGTCCAGAGCAATACTCCACCCCAGCTCTACCCTCTGGTTATAGGGAAAGATATTTCTGGATGTCACTTAACCTCTCTTTGCCTTAGTTCCCTTATCTTCCAAATGGGAAAAAATACTACTTTCAGTGCCTCTGTTCCAGGATTGTTGCAAGAAAATGTGCTTTGTACCCTTTAAAGCACTTTATAATAATAATTGAAAACAACAACATATAAACACTTTAAGGATTACAAAGCTTTTTACACATATTACCTCATTTGATCCTCCCTGGGAAATAGGAGCTACTGTTATGCCCAGTGCTACTATTATACCCATTTTATAGATGAGAAAACTGAGGCTGACAGAGATTAAGTGACTTACTCAGGGTCATATAGCCACTAAGTGTATAAGGCAGGCTTAGAGCTCAGGTCTTCCTGACTCCAAGTCCTAAACTTTCTACCTACTAAGATGCATTGCCCATGTGAATTATTTCTGCTTCACATTTCCTGACAGAATGTTTGCTCCTCAAAGGTAAGGACTCTGTCATTTTACATCTTTTTATTTCCATCTCCTAGCAAAGTGCTTGTACACAGTAGGCAATTAATAAGTGTTTTTTGAATGGCTATTGTGGTTTAGTCCCTGATGCCCCTAATTCCTGACATATTTTCACAGGAAATATTCCCTAGCCCTAGAACACTAGCATGATCTCTAAGTACTTTCCCTTACAATGTAAAAGTGCCTCAGACCCTCCAGGCTCTCCAGCCTAGACAGGTTGCCTTCTCAAAGTATTGAGCATCACATCACTGGAAGTATCCAAGCAGAAGATGAACAAGCATCTCTAAGGCCTGTCTTGGGAAAGGATTCCTGCCTTGGGAAGAATGTAGAACTAGATAACCTCAGAGGTCATTTCCAAAGCACAGATTTTGTGAATCCATGAAGACTGTAAACAGACCTGTTCTGTGTTATATCAAAGGCAAAACTAGGCCTGAAAGGTGGGAGTTACAAAGGTTCCACTTAAGGAAGAATATTCTAGTAAATAAAGTTGGTTGGTTTTTTTTTTTAAATCAAATGGGCTGCTTTGTGAGGTAATGAGCTACCCATCATTGGAGGCATTTGAGCAGAGGCTGGATAAGATCTGTCCTAAATGTTACAGAAGGGATTTCCTACAGGGAAAATTGGACTCTAAGATTCCTTCCGAATCTTAACAGTTCACAATTCTAAACCAAACCAGTTCCAGGGGCATCATGAAGTAGTGAAGAAAATATTAGTTTTTGAGTCTGAAATTTACTAGCTGTAGGATCCAGTTTCTCTCTTTAAGCCTCAGTTTCCTCATCTGATAAATGGGGTTGATAATAATACTTAAACTGCTTCCTTCTGTTGTGAAAAAATGAACACTACAAAGCATGAGCTACCGCCTATTATTGCACACCCAGATATTATTCTGTCCCCTCCTGTCCCCCCAGGGGAGTTGAACAAAAAAAGTGTGCTGGCACTGGGAGCCTGGGGGGCCAAGCTTCTGCCCCCTCCCCACTCCTCAGACCTACTCACCACCAGAAACTCCTTGAGGTGAGTCTCAATGTTCTTGTTGTGAATAGTAAACAGGGCGGCAGACACCTGGATGATGGCTTTGGTCAGGCAGTGGATGTTGTTGTTATAGCCTGAGTTGTTGAGGAGGGAGGAATGAAAAGGCCAGAGGACAGTCAGACACCCACACACAGGCCCACCCAATGACTCTTCTCTTTTTCTTGGCTGGACTCTCCACTTCCTTCCCCTGCCAAATGCTCATCCTAGCCCAGAGCCAGTGGGGATGGAAGAAGGGTTAAGTTTTCTGAGTTTTGAACATGCCCTGAATTTCACAAGCTTCTCTTCTTCAGTTCGGTTAGAATACAGCCCCCTCCCCAAGTCATCCCCCCACCCTGACCCTCTCCTCTCTTACCATCCTTCTCTATGCTGTAGAAAGAAGAGGGGTCTGTGGCAAGGAGAGGGATTGAAACCGCAAGGAAGATCAAGAGTAAGCAGGCTACTTTGTACTCCTCCTCAGGAGATGAGGTGTCTAAGAGAAACATCAGGGGAGGAAGGAGAAGAAATTTGTTTTGGAATCAAAAGATCTCAACTCTGCTACTCACTCACCGCTTGTGTGACCTCAGCTAAGTCACTTAACTTCAAAAGGTTTCCTCATTAGTAAAATGAGAGACTCAGGCTAGTTTAGACTTAGTTTCCTTATCTGTAAAATGGAGATAATACTCATGCTACCTTCTTCATAGCATTATAGGGAGGGTCTGAGTTGAGGGATAGGGTTACGGGATGGAAAGGAAGGAGAACTGGGTGTGGGCAGTGAGAGAGAGAGGGAAGGGCTGGCTAAGACTGGGGAATGTGGGTGGGTCTGGGAACACAACTGAGGTTATCGGGTTCAGGTCCATTCTGTGTGTGTGTTTTCACAGATTGTGCTAAATATAGAAAATGCATGAAGAAATGTAGGGAATAAAGTAGAGTAATAGCAATACAGCTCAGGCTGTGGGTGGGTGGGTGGGAGAGTGGTTACTTGAGTGAACGCGGCTGAGTAAGCAAGCATTGGGAGGCCCAGGCTTACCATGGAAAAAAAATGCACAAAAATGCTAGGAGTCTGTGCAAAACAATTTAGCATTTCATTATATACAAAGTTGTCATTCTCAAGTTGTGTTTTATCTTGCCTCCTTGACTACATTGTAAACTCCTTGAGGGCAGGTACCAACCTTGCCTCCTCAACTAGACTGTAAACTCCTGGAGAGGCAGGTTCCAAGTTGTATGCCATACAGCTGAACATAATGGAATGATTGACCTAGGACCTAGAGAAGTTATTTGTATACCCCTTGGCTGGGGTGGGGTCTCCTTATCCAGACAAAGAAGGTTCAGCATCATCTACCACCACCAAGGTACAGAGCACATTTTTACCAGCTTTCAGGTTAGCAATGGCGGCCACCAAGGTTGGGTCAATGTCACAGCACACACCTGCAGCAGAGGCCAGCTCAAAGACACTCATGGTCACCTAGCAGAAAGGAAATGAGATGAACATCCTGGGAGGGGTGCCCGGGGAGAAGATGGGATGTTCTTAGCAAAAGCTCCTAGAGTTTATTTTCTATAACCTCTGATTTCTCATGCCCCATCACCTGAGCTTTGTCTAGAAGATCATCTTGTCATCACGATTACCCAGCACCAAAGGAATCAAGGCAAATTTCTTAACTTGGCATTTAACACCTTCTACATCTCTTACTATGACCTCTTCTCCCTGGTCAAAATGGTTATCATTTTACTGTCCAGTCCCCACCACAACCCGGATGTTGCTGCCACTGCCCCTTTGTTCAGAATCCCTACCCAGAATGCCTTCCACTAGTGTTGATCGCAATTCTTCCCATCAGTGAAAGCCCAGCACAGATCCTCCCTCTTAGGTAAAACCATCCCTAACCACCCCTTCCCAGTCGTCTCTCCTACCTCTGAATTCCTGTAATGTTTAACTCTCTCTCCTATTCATATGGAACTTACTAGATACTTTATCTTATTTTGTCAGGCAGTAGTCTTGCTTTTGTCTCTGCCCTAGAGGTATATAGTGTACAGAGCACTGAGCCTGGAGTCAGAAAGACTTGAGTTCAAATCCAGCCTCAGATACTTACTAGCTGTGTGACCCTAGGCAAGTCACTTAACCTCAGTCTGCCTCAGTGTTCTCAACTAGAAAATGAGGATAATGATAGCACCTTCTTCCCAAGATTGTTTTGAGGATCAAGTAAGATATGTAAAGAGTGTAGTGCTGACTCTTAGTGGGCACTTAATAAGTATTCATTCCTTTCTCTTTCCTCCCTTTCCCAACGAGACCATGTACTTCTTTGTTCTGCCTACAATTCCTGGAACAGTGGTGAGCTAAAGTTATCCCAAAACTCTGTAGAATTTCAGATCTTGAGTAAGGGATAGAGATGCTACAGGCTTATAATATGTGCTTAATACTTATAGAATCATTGGGTTTTAGAAATGGAGGCAACCTTAAAGGTTACAGAGGTAGAATGATACAGTGGAGTGCCATATTTGGAGCCAAAGGACCTAAATTTGAATCCAAACTGTCACTTATACCTGTGTGATCTTCAGTAAATCACTTAACTTCTCTGTGCCTCAGTCTTATTAAAAGAATTTCAACTCTATGATTTTGCACCATCTAGTCTAATCTCCCATTCAATATGTTAATCCCTTCTATTTCTCTGACAGTCATGCAGCCTTTACATGAATGCTTCCAGAGATGGGGAGCTCACTACTTTTCAATGCAGCCCAGTTTCTGTTGGACAGGTTTAATTGCTAGAAAGTTCTTCCAAATATTTAACCCAAATCTTCCTCTTTCTCCAGAGGGCAGAAGAAGAACCATGGGGAAGAACAGCGAATAAGTTGACTCCTGAGGCCCTCTATCTCTATCTCTATCTCTATCTAGGACTAGAGAGACATTTTAAAGTACTTCCAATATGAAAGAGGGAAGGGACACAACTTGATTTCCTACCAGTTTTTCTAGAGAAATAATGTTCCTACATCTCCAAATGAATAGGCCCCTAAGTCATCCCAGCCTTCCAAAGGAAGTAGCCAGAGCCTCTAATAGAGGCATCCATCTCTTCTCCAAGCCCCATCCACTCATTTCCATGGGAAGCTCAGAGCTGCCTGGAGATATCAGCTTGTCAAACTCCTGACACGCCAGTGCAGCCCAACCTGGTCATCAGTGGCTGCCAAAAAACCGAAGGCTCCCCTGATATGAAACTGCCCTTCACTACAAGATCAGACAGCAACTGGGATGAGAGGGCCTTGGGGAGGTCTTCTCATCCAATCCCCCACTTCCAAATATCCTATATCTTCCTAGGTAGAAAATAAGTTTCTTTTTCTCAAAAGAGGACATTCCATACCCCAAATTAGATTTTTAGACAGGGAAGCTCATCTAGTCAGGGGCTAGCAATCTTGGAGGGGAGGGGGCAAGGAAGACCACCTGAGTACACATTCTTAGAATTTTTCTGCTATTTGAAATTTTTTTTCAATTGATATCAGAGAGATTTTGTGCCAATTTCATCTATATTGGATATATATACACGAATGTATATATACATATATGGATACATACACATACATATGTATGTGTGTATATATATACACATATATAACTATACACATTATATATCTATGTGTATGTATATTGTTGTTACTGTCGCTCAGTCATGTCCTACTCTTTGGGACTCTGTGGAACATATTGTCCACAGGGTTTTCAGAGTGGTTTGCCATTTCCTTTTCTAGTGGATTAAGTACATCAGATTAGCTAATTGCCACTTTATAAGATATTAAATTCATGTTCTTGAGGGGATAAAGTTTAGAACAGGAATAGAGTGAATAGAAGAATGGAAGAAACATGGCAGCAGAGGTGCTTAACAGGGCCAATGATGAAGGAGGAGAGATTCAAGTAAAGTATCCCAGCAAAAATAAGATCTCTAGGCCTGAGACAAACTAATCACAGGTACAGAATCTCAGATGTGTGCCATCCTCTGGTTGTTGACCTTGAGTCTAGTCCAACATCCTCATTTTTTAGAAAGGAGAAAACTGAAACCCACGGAAATGAAATGCTCATTCTTGCTTCAACGATCCCAGTCAGAAAATTCTCCCAATATCTAGCTTCAATTCTTCCTGCTGCCATATAACCCTATTGTTTCTTGCCTTCTTGGGGGAAATCCAAAAAAGCTTATTGTCTCTTTTCCCTTTACCATCAGACTATAGTCCTTAAATTTATTTAGGGTTATCATGACCCAAGGGTCAAAAACTCTCAAACTGCTCCCTATTGGGTCAATTGCCCCTCATGGAGGATGGGATGTTCTGCTGCCCCAGTATGTACGGTCCTTGCTTCCAGAAGACCCACTCCCTATGCTCCCTATCCCACACACACTCACCTACCCCAAGTACCTCAAGGTACTTAGCAGAAGATCCCAGTTGAGGCCTGACAACTAACAGGACTCATAAGCTATGGAAGGAACTAAGTAAGCATACAGTTTGTGGGTGGGGTTTAGAGCATAAATGGTTGCCTAAACTATTTCCTATCTATAGCGCTGAAAGACAGATTCCTAGCATCAGGATTTATTGGGGGAAGTTAACTGGAGGGAAGATGGGGTGAAGGGGACAGGAAGAAGGTTCCACCATGGTTCACAACTTTGCTATTTCATTGCAAATTGTTCTTTAGACAGGTTGGCTGCATGATATTTTCTCCCCACTGGTACTGCATGGGAGAGAGTAAGAAGCTGATAATGTAAGTTTTTTTAAAGTCTTAGAAAAAGACTGGAGAGGAGTCAGGGAACTAGGAAACCTCTAAGGGCTCGAGGGATGCACAGAAATAGAAAGAGCAATTCTGTGTCATTGAAAAAGTGCCTAAGCCCTTGATTCAAAAGTCAAAGGGATTCCTCTGTACTATGTTCAACATCTTATTTGCATTCTTCTTATTTCACATGGAAAGGCAAAAGACAGCTCTATCCTCTGCTCCCCACAATGTCCCCACAGCCTTTACTCTCTCCTTAAAGTATCATTCAAAGAAATCTTCTCCTCTGAACCCAGAAATTTCCTGGTTAGTAGCCTGGAAAATTTCATGCACGGCTCCAAAGTCACCCCCATACCTTTATATCTGTATCTGGAGTGACAAAATCCTTCAGGCACTCAATAGGGCCCATGAGGAATGGGCAGTGGGAAGAGAAAACCTGGAGTAAGAGAAAGAAAAGATCACTGAGGTCCTAACTGGCTGTCCAGTGACTACAGAAGGGAAAGGGAGGCCTTGAATCAAGAGAGAAGACCCACCATGTAGGGGCTGCTAGAAAAACTTGCTCAGTGGGTGTATCTTTAACCCCAGGGATGGTCCTCTTATTCATACAGATTTTTAAAAAGGATACCAGATTTCCTTAATGTTGCTATAGAAGCAATACATAAATTATTATAACAATCATGACAATATTATTCATTTAGTGCAGAGTCCTCCACTTCTGCCTTTCTCTGATGCAGATTATGGGTTCAGCAACTGTCTTCTAAGGATCAGACCAGCTAAATTCAGAGGTTCATCCACCCAAAGGCTGGCCACCGGAGGGCAAATTTTTGGCTAAATCAACCCATGAAACAGCTTCTGGCCCCTCAAAAATGGTTAGATCTACCCTCTAGGATGAAATAATAGATTGCTGAAACACTGGAGTAATATCACAATATAAGAAAATATCTCCAATTCTACTAATCTCTCCTCTTCCTAGAGGTTTCCCCTCAAGGCCCTGAGTTCCCTTCCTCTGACTTCTCTGTGATTTGCTAGTTGATCTCCCTCCCCCTTTACCTCTCACCTCTGGCCCCTTCCCCCCAAGCTCACCTCTCGGAGGCCCTCTTGGGCCATGGCCCTAAAGCTGAGGATGACGCCAATTATGGTCATTCTTTTCAACACATTCTCTGCTCCTAGGAAGGAAAGGCAAGGAGAATTAAGAGAAGGAACTCTGCCTGTCAGGGGCATAGGAATTGTTCTGTGCTTTCTAGCCGCAACCCCAACTTCCTCAGGGAACCCACCCTCACATTGCCAAAAAAAAAAAAAAAAAAAAAGTGGGCAGCTACCCCATTGCCTTGTAGCATAGCCCCACTTAAGTTTTCCTAACTGACCTCCTGGCCCTGGAGGTGAGCAAGGAGAAAAGCAGGGTTGCTAGGTCACTTAAGGAAAGGAGGCGAAACTTACCAGTCAGCTGGGGCATCAGAGAGGCCATGAGCTCTGGCTTGCTGAAATTGGATCTAATCTGTACAAGCACGTCCATGTTTTCCACCACCAGCTTCTACAACCCCAGGAGCAAGATACCCATGAATCAAGAACTTGAAGAGGCTTTAAGGAGAAGCCTACCTTCCATGTCCTCCTACCCAGCCAGGCACCCTCCAATTATTTCTCCTCCCAGACATCTGGACTGCCTCCTTCCTGGGGACAGCTCCACCCACCCACCCACCAACAATACCTTCAGCTCCACAATCTGGGAAGTTACGTGCCACATCAGGTTCTCACTTAGAAACTTCATGCCATAGGGTCCCAGGAGCTCAGCCAAAGCCCGCATCTCTAGGCAGAGGGAAGTCAGAGTTAGAACATCTCCAGGTGGGGCAAGGCAGTGAGGTTCTGGTCCAAAAGCCTACAGGGGAAATCCCCCTGTGCCCAAAGGACTTTGTCACCCCTGACAAGGATATCAAGGTATAGGGATGACTCTGGAGATTGGGGTAAAGCAGAATTCACCCATAAGTTTTTCCAGCCCCAACAAAGAAATAGCTGAGTTTTAAAGACAGGATAAATAGAGCAATCCTCCTAGAGGAATGGCCTCTTGAGGATCTTTGGATGGCTTCCAAACAGTGGTGTCAAACTCACAAATTCACTAAACTGTACATAATGATCCCAGCTGGCAACATATCAACTTAGAAAACCACATATTAAAATTATCTATGTTCCATTGTATTTTTATTTTTATTTTGTTAAAAACTTCCCAATTACATTATAATCTGGTGCAGGCAGCACTTGGGAGTTCTTGTTGGGCCCTAATCTGGTAACTTCAAGACAGGAATTGATTCAAGGAGATGTACAGGTCCTGGATATCTTCAGTTCTGACTATCAAGTTTCTTCTATCTCGGTTCTTCTATCAAGAAGAGGTTTTTGTTTTGTTTTTTTACCAAATAAACGTAATTACTTTAAGTGGGATAACACTATAAGTTATAGAGAAGGTATTGACCTGAATTAGTAGAGAAAGTCCCTCACTAGATTGGGGCTCCCAACAACAAGGGAATCATAATTTTTTTTTCCCTTAAGATTGGATCTGTAATTTCATTGGTGGAAAATCTCCCTGTGCCAGCACCTGCTCTTCAACTTATAAAATTGCTTTTATTTGGTAAAAACACAGATGGGGAAACAAAAACACAGAGAGTTTAAGTGATTTGTCCAGGGTCACACAGCCAGTATATACCAGAGGCAGTATTTGAACCCAGGTCTTCCTTATTCCAAGACCAGCCATCAATCCACTAACGTAGGCTGCCTTTGGACTGAGTAATCATTAGCACACTTGTTAATGCTCTTGTTTTCCTTTCATAGATGAAGACATGGTGGCCTAGAGGTGAAGTGACATGCCTCAGGTCCCTTGACAAGTCTCCAGGATCCTAGGAGCATGATAAAATAGAAAGAGCCCAGGGGATCTGGAATCAAAAGACCTGGGTTCAGGAAACAGAAACTCCACAAACTCTGAGCCTTTGGTCAAGTCACTTAACCTCTATGTACCTCAGTTTCCTCCTCTGTAAAACAGAGACAATAATAGCACCTACCTCCCAGGGTTATTGTGAGGATTAAATGAAATAACAATTATAAAAGCACTTAGCACAGTGCCAGGCACATAATATAAATGCAAATTATAATATTAATATGTTAACATTATATTAATATGTTAATGATATATTAATTATATATCATATAATATATCATAAATGCTATAAAATAGCTATTAGTATTAGTTATCTACCTCAAAGGGATGTTGTAAAAATTTTTTTGGTTAATTGTAAAATGCTATGTCAAAATGTTTTTTGTGCCAAATACCCCCAACTCTTTCCTTATTTTGGTTCTAGCTTTTTGTCGAGGCCACTTTGCATGATACTCCCTCAACTCCCCTACAGCCTTCCTATAACTCACAGACAGGGCTTCCTTCCCTTTTAGAAACATTCCACTGCCCACTCTTTTCTTTTCCCCATACACAAGCAAACACTCATTCCCAACCTCCCAGGTCCACCACCAGTCCTGGATCTCCCTTGTTATACCTGTTCCAATCAATCCCTGTCTTCTAACCATCTACCACCCATCCCACACTGCTACCCCCCAAAAAAATATAATCAGAATCTGCCTGGGAAATACTAAGTTACAAACAGCAATAAAGAACACCATCCTGGAGGGAAGAGGAAGGTCTGTAGCTACTATGGCTATGGGGTATGGAGCAACATCTGAGACCATTTATAAGGACCTATATGAAAGAAAGGCTTGGGTCCCTTAGGTAAATCCATATTTGAATGAAAAGCATCATGGGAAGGTGGAAAAGAATTCTGACTCTGGAACCAGAAGGCTTGAGTTTAAATCTTAGTTCTGCCACTTACTCCTTGTGTGACCCAGGGCAAGTCAATTAATTTCTTTTGGCCTTAGTTTCTTCATCTGCAAAAGGAGAGGGCTAAACTCAATAACACCTAAGTCCCTTCCAGCTATAAATATATGATCATTTAGCCTGGCTCTTTATCCCCAAAAAGCAGCAGAAAAAAAGAGGAAGGGGTAAAGGGAGGGAAGGAAGGAAGGAAGGTAGGAAGGAAGTGACAAAGGAAAGAAGAAAGGGAGGGAGGAAAGAAGG